ATTTAAAAAACAACTAAATCAACATGAAATCTTAAAAGGAAGCCTTACTTCATTTGATTTTGAATAGACAATCAACATGGACTACATTACAAAATTTTTCTGCAGAGATATATTACATAATTATTTTTGAAAACATTAATTATGTGTTTGCCATTGTTGGGAAAATATAGGAAAAATGGTCAGGGCCCCTCAGATGTTCAGAATCTTGCCGAGCATTTGATGTAAATAGGCATATGTGCTCAGGTGTTCCTTGGCTATCATCTAGTGTAAGTGTGCATGTGCACCCAGGTGTCCTGGGTTATGGACTTAAGTATAAGGATGAATGTCTCTGATCCAGGGTGCCTCCCATCCCTGGGATGCCCCCACCATGGTGGGGGGGGTATGGGGAGGCCACTACTGCTGCTGCTATTGTCCCCGGGACCCTCTGCAAGGCCACTACCACTGCCAGACCTGTAAGAGACTGGACCTATAAGCTGCTGCTGCTGAAGAAGCTGAGGACTGAGCTCATGTTATCTGCCAACAGCTCCTGGAATCTTTCCCAATTACCTAGCATGGACCTGTGTGTGAGGGGTCTGGGGACCCAGTCTGTACAATGAGTTTGGAGGGTCTGAGCTCTCGCTCTGACAATGTAAATGGAAACTTAGTATTAACTAAAATAATGAAACATTTTGGCTTTAGTTATGATTTGCCTTAACTTACAGCCATGAATATAATTGTAAAGTTCTCTTAAATATACAAAACATTTCGCGCGATCCTAATTGAAGAAAGAGGGATGGACAAAAGAATGGAAGGTATTTCCAGCCTCACAAGTTTATAAAACAATGTCAGAGTTTGAATATTAACAGAAATGCCTTCAGTTTTCTGAAATAAAAGTATTTGGTGCTTTTACAAACTTACAAATACATATACACAGTGGTGTCCTGGAAAATGTCTTACAACCAGCTCTAACTTATAGCATTGTGTATTTCCATGGTTTAAGTATTCCCACTCTGGCCAATTTGAAGCTACCAATTAGAATCAAAATAGTCACATGTGTTAACTCTGACAAAAAAATCTGGGGAAGGCCATGAAGGGTGTTGGTTCTCATGCACTTATGCCTAATAAGAAGAACGATCACGAAGGACTCTATAAAACCACCACCTTGCACAAAGACCATTGCAACCTTACACAAAAATATTCTGCAAGGACATCTGCCCAGCAACTATCCGTCCAACCTGAGACTGGCATCACCCTTGTTACTGATCCTTGTTGCCAAGGATAATTATCCCAAAACAATTACCTAATCCTCCATCATTTTTCCTTTAAAAATCTTTGTCTTCCTTTACCTCCCTAAACATGCACATAGTTTTCTATGGCACGCGTATTCCCTTTGCAATGCCCTGATTAAACTCACTATTATTTTAGCTTCTCTGTTATTTAGGTTGACACAATATGAGGTCACTTGGCTCACAAATTCCCTGAATATTAAAATTAGGCTCTCTCAAGCCAGTACAAGCCTACTCCAACGTACCACTGTATATGGAGAGCAATTATTTGGGACATATACCTTCCAGTTTCTCTATAGGTTCTCCAAAAAGGGAAACTGAGGTCTAAGAAATCTGAAGAATTTTCAAACACATTATAAGAAATATAATCAGACTAGTCTCTACCATACTGGTTTTCTTTGTTTCATTTCATGTTGGAAGAATTAAAAGAGGTTTGTTTGGTTTTGTGTATTTTTTTTTTCTTAGACTGATATATAGCTGTTTCCAAAGCACTGCACCATTATCGCTTCAACTTAGAGGGAAGGAAAAATAAAGAGGACTATAAGATTTTTTTTGACTGAGTTAATTATCCTAGCAGTTTCTGATATACCAGATTTACATCATTCTTTGCTCTAAAATTAGCCATAATAAATCAGTGAAAAAAAAATTACTTTAACCTATTACATAGTTTTTCTAAAGTATTTATCAGCAATAATATCAGGTATTCAAAATTTTTTCTGCTCTCCCTACAGTCTTGACCTACAAGACTATTTTCATGATGAAAAGGGCAATATAATTTCTGTGCCCAATCATAGAAATTCACAATTTAAAATTCACAGAAAGTATTTCTTTAAAATTAGTAATGTGAAACACCTTATTATTACTATCCGAGGAGAAGCTGTTTATGAAAGCCTTTAGATG